GCGCGGGCACGGGCACGACCGCGGGATCTAGGCTGCTGCTGTTGGAGCACTCGCCTGATGCACTCGGACGGCTGCTGCTGCTGCTGCTTCCAGAAGGTCCTATCGTTTCGGTCTTCGCTCGAGGTACCGCTGCGTCCGTAGGGCACCTGGTGCATCTCGACGGCGAGTCACCTCGTTCGTCCCCACCACCTGCGCCTCCTCCTTCTCTTGCTTCGGTGCTCCCTTCTTTCCTTCTGCTCTTGATCCGATACCGGTACCCCGAGTGTCCTACCTGATGCGCGAAGGGGCTCCCGCTTTCTTCTTGCTCGGGTGTCGTTAGGCTCCCCGTCGACGATGACGTTGTTGACGTCGCTACCACCGACGCATCCGACGCCGAACAACAGCAAGTCTTTCGCGCCGGTGAAGAGTCTCCTCTGCTTGCCGTTAACGGGCTTGCTCCTTGCCTGCGGTGGTGCCGAGGGACTACGGGGACCGCGACGACGACGACGACGATGGCGGTCACTGGGGACGACGGGACGACGTGGGACGGAACGGTACGACGACTCGATGGCGTAGGGGATGACGGCGCGTAGCGGTGACGACGACGACGGTGATGATGACGACAGAGAAGACAGGGAGAAGGCATCCTCGCCTAAACCCCCCATCACCAACTACCGATTGCCGGCGCCTCAAGATCGATCTCACCCAAGCGATGGATCGCCGTAACCGACCGGTGCACACCGCTCGTAGTTTCGGCCATTCGCACACGCTTTGCTTCCGCGTTCTCACCCATAAACGCGTTTCCTCCTTCGTACATATATATGTATATTTTTATGTATATAATTGTAGGTATATGTATTTTGCGCTCTTCACGCTCTCTTTCCCTCCGCGCGTCTCCCTTTCTGCCGGACTTGTCCTGAACACCGTCCTTGAGCCGGCCTTCCGCTCGTTCGCGCGAGCTAATCCGAGCGGGTCGTTGAACTTGACTGTGTGTGCACGCTTCACTTCGCTACTCTAACCCCTTTTTCTTTCTCTCTCTCTCTCTTTCCCTCCCTCTCTCTCTCTCTCTCTCTCTCTCTCTCTCTCTCTCTCTCTCTCTCTCTCTCTCTCTCTCTCTCTCTCTCTCTCTCTCTCTCTCTCTCCTCCTCTTTATCTTCCCCCTTTCTCCCCTCTCTCTCGTTCTTTCTTCCTCCCTGTCACGCCGGCTCCTCGGAACGAACGAAGCGGCGACGTCGCTCGCTATCGACTAGGGTCTTCTCGACTTTCTCGGGCACTTCCTATGTATACCTAACTCTTCACTACGGCTAAGATCCCCGGGATAATAATGCACCATTTAAAAGTCTGGTGTGGCTCCGTGTGCCGACGCTCCGACTACGGGCGCGCTCCGCCCCGTAGTGACCCACGCGCGCTCGCGAGTACGGTCCCCCGGATATCTTCTCCGGACGATCGTCGGGCGCCCGCTCGCGGTGGTCCACTCCTCCCGCGTGCGTTGGATCCTGCGGCTCGTCGGTTAGCAGGACTCGCCGTCGTGCCTGCCTGCCGCATGCGGCAAACGTCGCGGGCCCGTCCTGACCCGCGCCAACGATCCGCGCAGACCTGTCACCGCGAGCCCCGTTACCAGCGACGAACACCGCAGCGTGGCCGGAACTAATCGCATCCTTCCTCGTGCGACAGCGGCAGCCCGAACGAACCAACGGCGACAGTAATCCGCGTAATCCCACGTACACGATCGTAATCCCGTCCCGACTCCGGCTTCCTCGGCGCGTTCTCCTCTTTCTCCTTCGCCTCTTCCTCCACCTGCCGCTTTTTCCACTTTGCCCACTCGCCGTTATTATCCTGGTTCGTCCCTCTGGCCGTCTCTCTGTTGCGCGACGACGGCAGGAAATCAGCCGATTTCATCCGCGGTGAACGCCGGGAGCGCGTTCATAGAATCCTTTCGTAACGACCGAAGCACGCTTGTCGGAGGCGCGCCGGACACTGAGGGGCAACCACCACCACTACCACCACTACCGATACCGGCACCACCACCGCCGTACCATTAGTGAGCCGGCATCAGGAACAGCCAGCAGCAGTAGCAGCAGCCAGCAGCAGCACCAGCACCAGCGGTAGCCACCACCACCACCACCACCACCACCACCCACCACCACCACCACCACCACCACCACTATCAACCACCCACTACCGTCGGCGGTGTCTAGCACGACCAACGAGATACTATTCACCCACCCACCACGATATAGGTACTACAACGGCCGACTAAACTTCTCGGTAACTTTATATAGGTGGTCCCTTATAATGCGATAGCTCTTCGTGATCCGCCGCTGAGATATTTAAAGACCCCGTGCGCGCATAAATGTGTAGGGTCTCGTCTCGGCCCTTGATGACGATAGTGCGCGGGCGCAATTCCTTCAGGGTCGGATGATGATTTAAGAAGAGGAGGATGGAGGATAAAGAAATGAGGACGCGCGTTCGCGTAAAACGTATACCGTTTCAATTTTTCTCAGCTTTTAGAAAGATGGTACCGCGAGAGAGAGAGAGAGAGAGAGAGAGAGAGAAAGAGATCACTCGGAGCGGTCACCACCATGTGACTGACGCGTGGTACCGCGAACGATTCCCGCGGTATCGCAATGATCTCGACGTCATTAGCAACATCGATCGTGAGAGAGGCGGCGCGAAACGGGGACCACCTGTTAGGCGCCAACGTTATATCACGGCGACTTCGCCGATGATAAGATAACGCCCGAGTAGAAACGGATGACCAATTTGTCCCACCCACGCGATGGCCACGCGAGACATTTATCTCGGAATCCTCGGGAGCAAGGATCGCCATAGATCTTTACTTTTGTTCGCAAAAACGATACGCTCGCACATATTTGTAATTGCCCGAGAGCGAAGAAAAATTTATGTCGGACGATCTCCACGTGGAGAACGATCTCCAGATTTATTCGCAACTAAGGTACATCTTTCGCAGTGCAGAAATTTCTATAGTTCTCCAGTTACTCCTTGACCAGAAAAAAAATAGATCGAATCTATTCGTTATACTGATGTTCGGCGATATTCCTCATTAACATTTAAAATAATCGTATGCGATAAGCACAGCGAGTAAATGTGTCACTTCAAATATTTAAAATACTCGCGAAAGGTACAACAGTATGTTTTACCTCCATTAATTATACCATAAAAACTGATTGACTAACGAAACCGATGGGCGACAAGAATACATTTCTTATCTAGTATCGTAAGTTTGGGTTTTTATAAAAGGAAATTGGAAACTGTCTCTCCAGATTGAAAAGAAGCTACACCATGACATAATGTCGTATTAACCAAGATTAATCTTCGCGTAATCTCTTCAATTTTATTCAACGAATGTACTGCGTTCCCGATATCTCTGTCGCGTCGGGAGTCGATCCCTCGATCGCGCATCGGGATCGCGGCGATCCCGTGGAAGAAGAATGGCGATATCGTTCCTGGGTTACCTTCGCCACGCCGGATACCTCGGCGTTGCTGGATAACGCATCGCGTCGCGTCACCGAAACGCCTGATCCGCCACTCTCTCGTGACGGAGAGGCGCAAAAGGGAGACGGGAGAGGAAGGGGATAGAAAGAGAGGCGAGGTAGCCGTAAGCATATTGATCAGGAGACAGTAGTTGGCCGCATGCCACGTGGTGATGCTACGAGAGGCGCCGGCCTCTCCACCTATTATGAGCCAAGGCTCCTATCTTCGCGTTTCTTCTTTTCCCCGCGGGTTTCACCCCCCGACGCCGTCCGCCGTTGTCTTTCTCCCTTCCGTCCTCCCCCCCCCTGGATTCCATCTCCCCTCGTCCTCCCCCGTCCTCTCCTTCCCTCACCTCACCCCCTCACGACCCGGCAGAGAGCCCTTTTAGTCCGCGTTATTTTACCGCTCCCCGCTCTCCTCTGCGTGTACTTTATCTTCTTGTCTTCTCGGGACTTGTCTTTATTCCGAACGCGGCATCTAGAATGCGTAACGTTCGCCGTGTACATGTACGCGTACATGTGTAAAAACTCATATAGATATTCGCTCGTCTACATATGCGATATAGGTGAATGCGTGTGGCCTGTTCTGGCGCTTATGCGAACGCCGCTACGCATGCGGGGCCCACCCTCGGCATCTCTCGCTCTCTTTCTCTCTCTCTCCCCCTTTTCTCTCTCCTTCGGTATCTTTCTTCTTCCCCTTGGAGTACCCGCGACTTCTCGGACTCTCGATCGAGAGCGTTAAAATTGAGACGTCAGCCTAACAAGCTCACTCGTATCGTCCGAGCGTCTCCATTCTGTCTTCTCTCCCTTTCTCGCGAGCGAGCGGCAAAACCTTAAGAGAGAAAGAAAAAAGCAAAATAATCGGCAGGGGGGAAAAGAAAAGATCAAAGGGGGGCCCTGTTAAACGGCCGGCTCGGCACAGAGAGAAAGGAGACCGCCTTCTTGGGTGGCCACCGGTTCCTCCCGGTCAACCCCTCATCCCCTTACAGCGCGACCACGTTCTATAGTATCGTTCTCACGTAGATCTTTTGATCTCGCGAGCTAGTTATGCCGTTTCTGTTAACGCAGGGTCGATAAGAAAGGGTATATTCGCCGTATACCTACGTCGAGTAACCCGAAGGGTTTATCTCATGCAGGTTTCTCCGGAATGCTGATAACGTTATCGCGCAGGTTTCACCGATAACCGCTATCGAGTGATGCACGTGCAGATGCATCCCTTCTTGGTACAGTCGTTCGTTTCCTTCAGTCATCAAGTTAAGAGGATCCTAAAGTCATCTGTTTTACCGACACATTCGGATATAGTTTTTGCGCTGGTAAATCTTTTTATTAGCTTTTATCAGAGAGAAACCTGAGAGCGGCCACGCCGGCGTTTTACTTGATACCGTTTTCGCTCGACTGATTCCGGCACCTTACGCCCATTTTTATTTTTGAAATTGTATTGCATTTTTCAAGCGGGTAATGCAGCGCCCAATCTTGGTTATGTTCCGTGTGCTGCATGCATGAAATGTCGATAACACGAGAGTGTTATTAATTTTTCGTAACGGGAGTAATCATTGATATGAAACTAAAAGTGGATGTCAAAACAAAAATGGATGTCAAATCGTTAATTTCTATGGAGAAATGTAAAGGGTTCGGGTACGCTCCCTGGAAAAGCGCCATGTATAACCCGAAAGGGAATAAAA